ACCCACTATATCAACGCCAAAGCGCAACATCTACAGCAGCAAAGTTATGCTATGCATCTGGTGGGACATGAAGGGTGTGCTATATTATGAACTGCTCCATCCGAATGAAACGGTTAACAGTTATCGCTACAGTTAACAATTGATCCGTTTAAATCAAGAAATCGAACGAAATCGTCCATTTACTGGCAAAGGAAAACGTCCTGTGAAGTTGCTTCATGACAACGCTAGGCCTCATGTTGGTAAACCTATAAAGGAAACGTTGCTAGCTCTTGGTTGGAAAGTTCTGCCGCACCCGGCGTATAGCCCAGACATAGCCCCTTCTGATTATCATTTATTCCGGTCAATGCAAAACGCCTTGTCCGGTGTACACTTTCGAGCATTTGAAGAAGTGCGAAAATGGGTGGATAATTTTATCGCATCGAAAGACGAAACCTTCCTCGCTTCTGGAATTCGCAAGCTGCTCGAAAGATGGCTAAAGGTCATATATAATGATGGAGATTATTTTGATAATTAAGTGTTTTCGTTTCTAAATAAATAAATATTAAATTTCATTAAAAACGCTTTAAAACTTATTTGTACACCTAGATTAGTTTATTTTGAGCAACAGTGACATTTCCTTTATCTGCTTTAGAAATTAATATTTCAAGATGATCTTTAACAAATTTCTTTGTTGTCTTAATCCAATTACATAATAATTTATTATTAGAACTTGTTCTGGGAAACTCATTCTGAAACCTCTCAAGAATCGAAACCGTATTATTTCTAACAAAATTAATTTTCTTATATTCGGAATCAATTTGGTATTGAAACAATTTTTTGTAACTTTATGAAATTAAGCGTTAATGTTAGAGCACGTATTAGATTTCTGAAATCTTGCATTAATTTTAATTTAATTCCACATTTAAAAAAATACACAAATAGTAATTAGCATTATACAAGTAATTTAGCATTGTACAATAGGTATTTTTATAAAAGATTTGAGAGAATACAATTAAATAATGTAAAAACAATTTTGCGATTGCAATTGAAGGACTCATATCATTACTTACATTGTATAGAGTGAAAATCTTTGATTTCTCATCTAAAATTCACAGTGTCTTGCCAGCTTCCATAGTTTGCGAATTTTTTAAATATTTAGACAACATTAATAGTTTTAATTTTTTTCAACATACAATGAGAATAGATAAGAAGATTCAATGGTTGAGAAAAAAAGACTTGAAAAATAAAAGATTAAATATTAAAATTTCTTATGTTTATGCGTTTAAAAAATAAAATTATATCTGAGAAAGTCTTAATGAAAAATCATTACAGTTCATAGAAAAAATACATATTTCGGCTGAATTATTTGGTGAAGCGGCTCCTCTAGATTCTTTAAATAAAAAATGGTTTCTTAATTTGAGTAATATCGATATTCCTATAGAAGTCCGGTATCTGCTACAGTTAGAGGAAGGCTTTGGCCTTTCTATTAATAAACACAATATTGATAGAACATTAATTGCATTCATTAAAAATGTTGAAAACAATTATTGGTCGCCGGAATAACATAATTAATTTTGTTAGAAATAATACGGTTTCGATTCTTGAGAGGTTTCAGAATGAGTTTCCCAGGACAAGTTCTAATAATAAATTATCATGTAATTGGATTAAAACAACAAAGAAATTTGTTAAAGATCATCTTGAAATATTAATCTCTAAAGCAGATAAAGGAAATGTCACCGTTGCTCAAAATAAACTAGATTACTTATTCAAGATGAAATCGATGATTTCAGACAACAATACATATGAGATGATAACTAAAGATTCTACAAAAAAACTGACGAGCGATTTGCGTAGCATACTTAGTACATGGAAAGTAAAAGGGTTTATAGATGACTTGGCATATCGGAGGTTGAGTACGACTGACAGGATTATTTCTAGAGCACACACATACGGTTTAATGAAAATTCATAAACAAAACTATCCTCTTAGAATCATTGTTTCATCTATAAATAGTCCACTATATAATTTATCATTATTTCTACATAATATCATTAACGACTCCATACCGGAAGCTCCTAGTTTTATAAAGAATAGTACTGATCTCATTAATAAATTAAAAGATGTCAAACTAGAACCAGATTCTAGGTCTGTTGGTTTCCTTGGATATGGTATCCCTATTTACTAATATACCTACAGATTTGACATCTGATAATGTTGTTAGAAGGTGGGATTCTATATCTAAGAAAACAAAAATTTCTTTAGATGAATTTTTGATTACTTTTCGGATGGTTTTGAATTCTATGGTTTTTATCTTTAGTAAAAAAATATACAAAACAAATATTTGGGACCCCTATGGGATCAGCCTTGTTACCAGTCGTTGCAAATATAATTATGCAAGACTTTGAAGAAATTGGAATGTTGCCTGTTCGGTTGTTATTTTATTATCGATATGTTGACGACATTATTTTGTCTGCTCCGTTTGAGAGTATTGGAGATATTTTGAGTATCTTTAATTCGTTACATACTAGACTGTAGTTCCCTATGGAGGTTGGCATTGATGGAAAAATAAGTTTTTTGGATAGATTGATTATTGAAGAACAGAACCTTATTTTCGATGTATATTGCAAAGCAAACTTTTCCGGTAGATTCCTTAATTTCTATTCACACCATCCGCTTTGTCATAAAAGAGATTTAATTTACGGAGTAGTGAATAAGATTTTTCGTTTGTCATCCGAAGTTCCAACAAAATAATTTAATTGACGCTCAATATTTTTTTACAGAATGGATATCCTCTACATTTTATTTTCTCGACTATTATTCATAATAGAATTAAATTTCATGTTAATAATATTAATTAGTTTAAATAATAACAAGGATGATACAGAAAGATTTTTTACTATTCCATATGTCAATACAATATCTGAAAGATTCATTCAATATCTATCGTCACAACTTTAAATGGGATAAAATGGACATATTAGAGCTTTCATACAATAAAAAATTAATATCTGAAATGGTTCATATTAAAAAACAGAAACATGGAATAAAGACAAAATGACACAGAGTCTTTGCCAGAATTGTATTCTAACATTATACATTCTCTTTCTCCTTCCTAATATTTTCTTTTCTTTCCCTCCTGTTTTCCGTTCTCGATAACTGTTTTCCTTCTCGATATTGCGTTATCTGACGTCGTGGAAATATTCGTTTCTTTTGCAAATTTATTTCAATTAAAAAAACCAACATATTGTACCACGATATGGATACCATTTATCTGCGTTTTTTCTCTCTTTTTTTTAATGGACTCTCAACACATTTATTGATATTACTGACAAGGTATATTATTATATTAATTTGTGTATTAAGTATTAATTTTTTTGTTCACAGTTACTTTTCTAGAATTGTTTTCTGATTACTTTGATTTTCGGTATAAATGATTCGCAACGTAATGATTATAAATGATTCTGCACGAAATAAAGAATATGGGATTATAAATTATAATGAGTTTGCAATATCATATATATTGTTGGTTTATAGCGATTTTTAATTTTTTTTAAATATTACGAAAACATTGAAAATGACTTGAGCGGAAACGTTTGTTTTTATCAATTATAATTGTTATACGAATTTTATGATTTAATTTAAATTAAAGTTCTTTGCTACGTTACTGGCTCTTTGACTACATTGTTTTATATTTACAGAGTCTTATTATTATTTATTAATTTATTTCAAAGGAAGTTAATCAAAATATAATAATATACGAAATTTATATATAACAGTTTAAAAATTTATTTTATAGCGTAAATTTTATATTAAAATTATGTTAATCTTTTGAGTGTCAGACTTCAAAATGTAAAAGCGGTCCCAAGATATTTTATCCAAGATATTTTTGTGTATTGATTTAAATGAAAATTTATGTGGGTTTTCAAGACTGAATACAAATTTGATATTAGAACTTCATCGTTCAAAATGGCAATAGGGTACAAAAATTGTAACGTATTGATCTTATTTCGTGCTTTAATCGTCAGTCTTTGTTTAATTATGTATTTGAAATTGTTAAATATAAATTTGATGTTAACGTAATAAATCAATTTTAAGGTGATAACTACATATGTGGTGGAAAATTTTACAAAATTCGTAATATATCAGTGTATATTATTACATTTTGTCATATATTTTCATATATTGTATTATAATTTTTGAAATCGCTGCGGATTTCGAATTTGATGTTTTATAATTACGTCAAATATTATTTTAAAAATATAACCAAACATTTTATAATAAAATATATTGTGTTTAGAATTTTAAAGGAAAATGTATAATTTATACTATAGAAGATTTATTTATTGTATATAAAAATTTTATTTCTAATGTTTAAAAAAGCTTATAAAAATTCGTTGGATTTTTAAAAGTAAATTTTAGAAATTTTAATTTTAATTTAATTCATTTATTCCTCAAATTCCTGCGTATACGGCTATTAAAAGAATTTTCTATTTGTTCTATAAAATGCTGAAAGTTTTATGTTAAAACCATTATTTTGAATTTGCAAATTTTGGTTTAGAAAAATCAAAAATTTTAATTTTAAATACTTATAAAAAATTGTAAATCGATTAGTAATCGAAATAATGATTTCTATTTTGTAATGTCTCGGTTTATTAACATAAAATTTGTATATTAGACTCTTACATACTCTTTTATTATATTTTATTGAAATATCAAGAGTCCTTTATTATTATTAATAAAAAATTATATTTCCAAACAATTTTTAATAGTATTTTTAAAAGAAGGTGATTAATTTCATGACATCTGTAGACGTTGTAGATGTTCGGAGCCTTCTTAGTCTATACGTAATAAAGACTTAAGGGATTAAAGGAAACGTTGGTTTCCTTTAAAAAATAAAATATTAAGTAATTTATATATAGTTTTATTTATAGTATTGCATACTAATTCAAATATTTGTATTTATAATTACTTTTTTGAATATCTATCAAAATATATTTAATAACAAAAACATTTTTAATTAGGGGACTTGAAGGTGCAAACAACAGCGCAATTGAAATATGTGACAGAAGAAGATTTGAGTGCGATAGGAATGAGCAAGCCAGAGATACGTCGTCTAAAGAAATACTTTCAGAAACATTTTCCTCAAAATTATTTATCCAAATTTAAGAAAATGCTACTACCAAAACGCGAAGAACAGCCTTCTGATGTTGTGGGTATGCTACCAGAAGAAAGACATAACAAACCATCAGTAATACGTGTTCCTAATAAACACATGATTCCGGCTGATGCAATTATTGTAAATAAAGAACTTGGGACTGGTGAATTTGGAGTCGTACAGCAAGGAGTATGGACTAATGATGGTGAAAGAATACAAGTTGCCATTAAATGTCTGTCACGCGAGAGGATGCAGAACAATCCCATAGAATTTTTAAAGGAGGCCGCGATAATGCACGCAATTGATCATGAGCATATTGTGAGACTATATGGCGTCGTGCTCGATACGAACTCGCTGATGCTTGTTACAGAATTGGCTCCACTGCGCTCATTACTAGAATGCCTTAAGGAACCCAGTTTGCGCGCAAGTTTTCCTGTCTTATCGCTGTGTGATTTCGCTGTGCAAATTGCTGACGGAATGCAATATCTGGAAGCGAAAAGATTGATACATCGTGATCTTGCTGCCAGAAACATCCTTGTGTTTTCCAAGAATAAGGTAAAAATATCGGATTTCGGATTATCACGCGCTTTAGGGGTGGGTAAAGATTATTATCAAACGAATTTCAATGTTAATTTGAAACTGCCTATTGCGTGGTGCGCACCTGAATGCATATCATATTTGAAGTTTACGTCAGCGAGTGACGTTTGGGCATATGGAGTAACATTATATGAGATGTTTAGTTACGGATTTCAGCCTTGGGCAGCACTGACCGGCCATCAAATTCTTGAAGCAATAGACGAACCTAATTTTCAAAGATTAGAACAACCTGAGTGCTGTCCAAAAGATTATTTTACTTTGATGCAACAATGTTGGCAACATGAACCCTCAAAGAGGCCCAAATTCTCCGAATTGATTAATGTACTACCCGATCTGAAACCTGAGCAAGTGCAAGCAGTTCAAGATAGCATCGAGCCAGGTCAACTCGTTTACAGACAGAGTGATATAATCACAGTTTTGGACAAAGGTAGCAGTAATACTTTGTGGAAAGGCGTCCTAAATAATGGCAAAACAGGATTCTTCAATCCGGCTTACACAATCGCATATCTTGGATCCAATCTACCTAGTAATAAACTCGGCGAATTTACACGGGGAGATGGTAAAAATGCTTTCTCTTCACAACGTAGAAAAATTCGAACGGATATGATATCTTCTCCACAAGGCGATCTCAAGCATACTGGTCACGTAGGTTTAGATGGAGCATATTTTGGTGACATTAGCTTTCTTGGAAAGTATCCGCATTTGCCTCGTCAAGTTGTGACGCCGTACAAACCGCAAGAGGATGCAACCGATAATTTTAGTAAAATTTCAACTCAGAATGCAAGAAGCATAGACATAAATAGGGAATCGATAAGAGAAAATAGAAGCATACAACAAGAAACTGAAAGTAAACATGGTATATTTATCTTTTATTACAATAATCTTTTTATAAAGCAGAATTATTTTATAAAATAAAATTTAGATAATTATTTACAATAGGGCCTTTTCTGAATTGTAATATCCTTTTCTTACAATTTTAATAAAAATAGAAATGACCTAACTTTTTTGCACGGACTTAGCTCGTCAGTAATTTCGGTTCGGGAAGCAAAAAGAGGTTCAGGCTAGAGAGGAGATGCAATTCGAAAAACTCGGATTTAATTAGATAAATAAAGTTTATTGGAGAAAAGGATGTGGTACAAGCGCAATATACCTGTATATGCGCGCGCGCGCGCATGTGTGTATCTGTGTGTCTGGCGGAGCTCACGATTACAATGTGTGCGTGTTTACATCAAATTTGGGTACGCGGTCTAACGCAACATCTTTTAGACGGCGTACCTTGCTGATAAACGCGAGACGTGTGGGGTGCGGGACTCCAGTTAGTTGTGCTACGCGTAGCATCGCTGATTGATTCGCGGGAGCGAGGATACTTGCCAGGCACGTTTTGCGCATTATTCTAATAGGGCGTTTCCTCGCTGCAATGAGAAACAACGCCGAATGTTTCAATGGCGACCTTGAGCGGAGAGATGTCGAACTCGGCGGTATTCGGCCGAGTTCATGAATCTCCTATTTATGTTATGCGTGAAGGGATAGCGAGCGCATCGTGCACTTGTGGACAAAGGCCGATCGGCTAATAACGATGTGCATTGTTACAAAATCTTTGTTACGACTTCAACAGTGATAAACTATTGCAGTGCCGATCAACCGGGAGCGTTTGAAAAATGTGTAATTTATCTATTCTTTTAACTATTTATTTTCAGATAAAAATGAGGAGAGCTTTCCTCAGTGACCGTGACCTTGACATATGTTGTCAAGATCATGACCCTGAATGATCTTGAAAAAGTTTTAACTGTCGGTCATTATTCGTTAAAGTTATTTAAAAAATTAGTTTTGAAAAATATGGTTTTAGTGAAATGAATAATAAATATTTAAAAGAATAAATTCTCTGTTTTAAAACAAATTTTCTGTTCTAAAAACAAGAATTTGTTTTTAAAGCAGAAAATTTGTTCTTAAGTAGAAAGGAACAGAACACTTTTTATGGAAATGAAGTCCCGGTCAAATTTGTTGAAATTTTGATGTGATTGTACGTTCTCGCTCACTAACTAATCAAAAATCTCAATTGTCACCAAAACAAATAATCAAAAATTTTGAAGTTATGGCTAAAAGATCCAAAATTGATCTCCATCATTAGGTAGTATAACGTCATGTTAGTAGTGAGATTTAATTTACTACGTACGTGAGATTTAATTTAATCTGTTTCATCTCTTTAAAAGTTTTTATTTACACTTTTATTTTTATGAACTGTGACCGTACTCACGAGTGACGGTACAACTTTATCGCTCTATTATATTTCTTAAACAAATGAATTCCCTTCAGGACGACTCAATAACCAGACAGAATTTTCGCAATATCAGAGCTTTTCTCAAAACAAGTTGGATGCCAGGCACGAGAGAGCGTGCCATCATTCCGTTAATTTCCGCTTACTTTACGCACAATTGCAATTCGCAACAAGGGTCGTTATATGTAGACAGGAAAATTGTCGGAGGGCGAGAGAGATAGGCTACAAGAATAATACAGAGATTAATAAGAAAATAAATATCAAGTGTATTTCGAGACGCTAATTTACAATTGACTTTCATAAGTTAGTTCGATTGGTCTAATCTTGGAAAAACAACAATATAGTCGATATTAATGTCAATTAGGCAATCGCATTAGATTTCGATAAATCTTTACTCTCCGAAAGATCACAAAAGAAAGGCGAATATTTTCCGTTAACCAAACGCGGAATAAAGTTTATCGCTGGTACATAAAGAGATCGCACACTGATAAAAGTAATGAAGTTATCAGAATAGATTACGTCGGCGCAGAATGGATCTCTAGCACGGATTTTACAGTTATTGTGATGTCGCAATCAACGAAAGTCTGTACTGATCAATATACAAATGAAATAATATGAAATGACTCGACTGTGGCAAGGGATTGAGTGCTAATTGGTAATTAGTATTTTCTCTCGAAAAGAAAGGACGTTCGGGCAGATGACATGTAGCTCGTAACTTGCTAACTTACACGGCAGCCATTAAATCGGTTGTTCGAAATTTCTCGAGTTTTCACGCGCAATCCGACGCCATAAACTCCATGATCGGCAGTTGTTGTATTTACAAATACAGCAATGTTCGTCTTGCCCAATGACTCCTCCTATCTTCCAATATCTTCGAAACGATCATTTCAGGCTTTTTGTTCTCAATAAATAATAATCCTGAAAGATCGTGCATTCTCTCACAGTTTTTTGACCAAAGGAGTGCCGACCGGGAATTTTCCGCGAATTCAAGCGGGTTTGGCCCTCCTTTAATTGGGGCCATGTCATGCGGGAATCGCATAAAGTTTTGCGGGTCGCAAATCCTTGTACTTTAAGGCGCGTAACATAAATTTGAAAGGATATATCATCTGCAACCTCCTAGCTATTCGGGTTGGCTCGGAAAGCCCTGGACAGCTCCGCTACCTGCTCCGTGTCGGGGTATTCCTATCTCCGACTAATATCCTCCTCAGTCACCCGGCATATCTGAAGCTTTCTCCTTCCATAGTTCTTTTCTATAATTTGCGTGCGATATAGTTCAAAACGGCAGCGCATTACAAAATATACGAAACATATGACATGCGTGTCCGAATAAAGCAACCTATTATGGCATGATAGAAAGATTATATGGTATGTTCAGTTTGCAAATGTCTCTCTCTAATTTTCTGCTCTCTCGCTTGTTCGGTAATCGTTCATAGTCCCAGTTTAGCTAACCTTAGTTGTTATCTTCGTTGCACATCATATAAATTCTCTTTTTATTACTAGTATCTAGTACTATATACCAACATATGTTCGCGTCGCATGCTCTTATCTTAATTTCTATTCACTTTAATGCGTTGGAATAAGTAGGATCTATAATAGGAATTGAAACACATTTCACAAATATATATATCTTAAAATATATATTTTTTAATAGAATTTTTCATATATATATATATATATATGAATTCTGAAATATTGTACATGAGATTCATATAAAATAAATTTGAGATATTTCTTAAACAGTTATAAAATGATACAGAAATTTTAAAAATAAAATTTTTTTGAATAATATAAATAATATAAATAAATAAGTATAATTTATACTAATAATACTTATACCAACATATAGCTCAGCGGAATCCTCAGGGCACGGAATTATTTCGTTTTTCCTAGAAAACACAATAGAAATCTAAAGAATAATTGAATAATTCCAATAGGAATCCATTTCGAATAATTTCGTAATACTCTAATAAACTCTTGAAATCACGTTTGACAGTGATGTTATTCCACGCTTCGAAACAAAGAGAGAAAAGAAATTACATAGCAGAATCTGACGAAGATGCATAGAGATCAATTGTAGCAACATCGTTTGTTTTTTCGCAGTTGGCAGGCCTGGGTCAATGAACGATACTTTGACACGCAAAAGGGGCGTGATTTGCCCAAACTGAGCACACCATCAATCTCTTCCATGTATTACATTTCCGTCTTTCTCTGTGTAATCTTCCTTCTTTTGATGATGAATGAGACAAGATTACAAAAACAAAAATTCAGCTACCGAGCACGGTCCATTAATGACACTAGATCTAAAAGCGAGACTAACTTCAAAAAAATAAATTCTCAACAAATAAATAAACTAAGCGCATGATTAGTGCATGCTCGCGTGTGTGATCGCACGCGCGCCCGCCTTCTGAGCTGGGAGGATACAAGATTCCCAAAGAATTATCGCAGGAGTGATGGACAAAAATTGTTACGTCACAATACACACACTTGCATTTACACAATACGCACGCACGCACAGAAAGGGAGGGAGGGAGAGGGGGAGGAGGTAGAATTTTTTGAAAGAAAAATAATGGATGTTTTTCATTTGATGATATATCTTTGTCACTCTCTGAATGTCAACAAGGATAGAACAATGCTTATGTCGATTTGTGCCATCAAATGAAAAGCATCCAATGTACATTTGGATACAATCATACACGTGAGACTATTCAGTAATCACCAAGTCCAGATCTTGGTGTGCCGCGGCGTATCACGATTATCCCGCCTTCATTGACAACGTTTACACGACTTGATTTAAGCCGAAGTCATAACATCCGATATTATAATTATTGATATTAGATATAAACTGTTTTTTTTTTATGACGAAGTTTTCATATAGCATACTTTATCCCAGAGATATTTTTGTTCTCAAAATGTTGAGACATTTCCAGGATTAAAATTCAAGAGTACAAAAAGGAGTTATGAATCAAATAAATTTACATGCAATCTATAAACAACAGTTTCGATCTAACACGAAGTCATTATCAATGTCATTAATAATAAATTTTTTTTAATCTTAGAACTTGCATATCTAATCTTAAACTAGAAATTTAAAATGCTGATTACGGTTGAAGCTGGATCTTCATTGCTTTAAATAATTCAATCTTAAATTACTAATATACACTATATATGTACTTACATATATACCATATTGTAATCTTTTCGAATTGCGCGTCGAATCGGACTTATAAACGCAATTAAAACTACTCTAATAATCGCGAAATAAATTGACAAGCAATTTTAATATTAGGTGTAGTAAAAAGAAATCCATTATTTTTCCAATAGATGGCTTTAGTAATCTGTATCACGTAGATATCGTATCATATCGTGTAGACGAGATACAGATTACTAAAGCCATCTATTGGAAAAATAATGGATTTCTTTTTACTACACCTAATATTATAAAGATGTTAATATGTTGAAACTGTTAATAAATTTATTGCGAAAAATATTACCTCGGCCGGGACTTGGATCCGGATCTCTTGTATTCCGTACGAGCGTTCTAAGCCATTAGATCACTGAAGCCTTAGTAATATTCTTCGCAA